GTGTCCCACACAACAGTCTCCAGACTCCTCCCTAGACCTGTGTCACACACAACAGTCTCCAGACTCCTCCCTAGACCTGTGTTACACACAACAGTCTGCAGACTCCTCCTTAGGCCTGTGCTACACACAACAGTCTCTAGACTCCTCCCTAGACCTGTGTCACACACAACAGACTCTGGGCTCCTCCCTAGACCTATGCTCACGGACACACTCCGTCACTGATGGTGTGGGGACCCTCTGTCTGCAGGTGGAACTCGTGTGCTACAGAAACCGTCTCCTCTGTTACCGAGGAGGCCACGTTGGTCTCCTGTGAGTGGCAGTGGAACAACCCTACTTTCCGCTGGACTGTGTCTGTTCCCAGCCCTTTTCTCTTTGCATCTGGAGCTGCAGGTTAGGAGGTTTTGGATCTCACAGGGGTTCCCAGCATATCAATGGCAGAGGAGGAAGAAGGGAAGGAACTGACAGTGTTTGCAGGAAGAGGTGAAGATCCCAGGAATGTGAATGTTGTAACTATTTTACCCAGCGAGGCAAAGCCAATGAGGATCAAAATGCAGAGAGGAACTTACTGATGTGTCCTGCGTTGCCAGCTAGAACAATAAAACACAAAAACGTAAGTTTGGAAGAAGTGCACCTTAGGGACATTTTTTGGGGGGAGTGAGGAGATAGTTGGGTCAAGCATTCATCAAAGTCAGATTCATATAGGAGGACGCCAGGAAGTCAGGCTGCATTTCCTTTTGTTGCTTAGGAGACAGAGGCCATGTCTAAGATTGTTTGCCTTTGTCTAGGTCTCCCCTGGTGCTTTTCACGAAATCTTTCTACAAATCTGTTTTGGATGAAGTGCTTCATCTGACCCAAGAATTCCCCTTACACCTTTAAATGAACGAACTTGGGCTTGTTAGCAGGATTTTCGCCACCTGGCATAAAACAGCGGAACCATCCCTTTGAGGGTCTTCCTGCGTCTGAGTGTCTCTCCTCACCACCCTTTGCCAGCTTGCCTAGAGCAGGCATTGCACAGAAGACCCAGTTATAGTGGAATTATAGATAAGAGAAACATACACATAGGGTCGCCAACGGCCTTGTTGCTTCTTGTTTTATCTGTGAAAAATTGAGATCATTATTGAAAGCCCCAAGTGGTCAAGATGCAGAAATCAATTGCACTTTAGGCGCCTACCCCAGATCAATACATTAACAGCACAACCCATATACGTGGGAAATATCTCCAACAAGGGGACAGAAGACTGTCAGGGTCCCAGGACCAAAACAGCTCCTGAGAGACAGTTTCTTCAAGTGCAAGGGTGAGGTCAAGGAGGGAGGGGTCTGGGAAGAGGTAGGTGATTACCAAGCTAGACATTACAGAAAGGACAGAACCGTGGCCTGCCAACTCGGGCATAGCGGGCAGGTGATTCTGTTCCCTCCAGAAGTCTTGAGGTTAAGACCCAAGTGTCAGCTTTGCCACCCTCCTGTGCTCTGACTTTGGGTACAATAACCTATTGATCTGACTTCCTCAGGCTTGGAGTGGAAAGTGTGCCCTCGTCTTAGTTTTACTTTGAGATCCCAGTGAGGAAAAAAAATCCAGAGTTGAAACAAATGGGAAAAGAGGAAATTCTGCTGGGAACACCGTGGGGAGAAGGACCCTGTGAGTGTGGAGAGAGAGGGAGGGGCAGAGAGGGCTGAGTCTGTGGACCCTTGGAGAGGAAGCAGAGAGGCACGAAGCTTGGGTGCCCTGCCAAACCCTACAGAAAGCAGCGGGATCCAGGGCAGTCTCTGGGGAGAGTCCTTCAAATGAGAAGGAGGCCGCCCTGCAGTGTGCGCTTAGTCTTCACCCTACGTGGACTGACTGTTCATCGCTGTGCTGTTGTGATCAGTGCCCTCAGGTGTCTGCAGGGACATGTGCATAGGCACACGCACAGGCACTCACACACATGTATACACACACGCACACACATGTATACACACACGCACACAAGCACCCACACAGAAAGTTCCTGTGCACACACACACAGTCTCAGGACCGTGAGAATCTGCCAGGATGAGCTGTCAGAGGGGTGCTGTCTACTTGAAAAGCCCATCCCCCATCTAAGAAGTTTTTGAGTTTAATAATTAAAATAAATATGCTGACCAAAGTACCCCCGCAGGCGGACTGGCTTAGCAGTGGCTCATTCGGGAGTTCCTTTAAGATTGGAGGGAAGGCAGTGAGCCCTCTGCCTTCAGCAGCAGTGTAGGGGGGCTGTGGGCTGAGGTGGGAGGGCCGGTGAGGCCTTTCCACTGTTTAAGAATAGGCATCAATGGATGGACTCAGCTTTGACACCTGGGATGAATAAGGTCTTCTGGTTACAAGGCCCCCCGAGGCTGTGGTGCATAGGGGCGTTGGGGGGATTATGAACTACATTTTCAAATAATCTGATATACATTTGGACAAGATGGAATGATTTTACCCCTAGAAAAATGGCTTTAATTTGAATTCAGATGAACAATATTCAGAGTGGAAAATTATCTCAAGCATATAGGTCTGGAGAAAAAAACTAAACTGTCTAATTGGGATTATTTTTTTTTAAAATTTACCCCTGATATCCTTACTTTAAAAAAAAAAAGGCCCCTTCTGTTCTCTTCATCTTTCCTTTGTTTAGGAAACATATTTGTTTTCCTGGAATCTGACCTGGGAGACTCATTTGTCTTCCTCACTTTTGAGAACCTTAAAGCTGATTGTTGCAATCACTTATGTAATGATTTAGGTTTAAATGTCGTGAAGGATGGGCGGTGAAGGCTAGCTACAGAATCTGGAGCTCCCAGTTAGGTCGCCTGGCCTTATCAGAAAACTGGTAAGAAAGTGTGGGAGTCTGATGACATCAGATAATGAAAAATGTAAGAAAAACGTGGTTGTCCTTGGCATAGAGCTGAAGAACAGTACCACACACAGAAACAGAACTCATGTTAGTGTAGAGGTACGGGTTTGGAAGAGGGACCCCGACACTGCTGCAGCTGGCCCTGCACACCAGTCCGCCTCTGCAGGGAACCCTAATCTGCCCTTTGTCTTCCACACCTGCTGCTGAATGTGCAGAACACATGTGAGCCCTGTGAGAGCTTCCCACAGGTACAAAGCCCAGACAAACTTCCTTCAAAGAAAACCCAGAAAACTGCGGTATTCTTATCTGAGAATTTGCATTTGGCATTGTCCCTCTGGGTGGGGGGGCTTAGAATCAAGACTTTGGTATATGGAGTTGACTTACTAAAAGTGTGACTTGTTAACAAGAAAAGGGCCCTTTTCTCAGCCAAGGTGAGTGAGTCCGGAGAGATGAGAGGGGAATCCACCCTGCAGCTGGAAAAGGCTAAATTCTTCCTTAAGATGCCTCTGTACTTCTGTCTCGACTCGCTTGAACGAATACCCATGCCTGAAATACAGCAGTGGCTCGCACACTATGTTATGTCCTGGACCATTTTCAAGAGCTGCTCCCAGGATGCACTAGGTCGTCCACTGCCCAGCAGGCATAACACCTTCTCCCTCTGCCTGGTCACTGACTTGAGATTTTCAAAGCTGGACTAAGTTCTTAAGCACACAGGGTTTGAGATCCCCTCCCTAGGGTACCACGGTCAGGCGGTGGTCTGTGGACGTGCCTCGTGGGAGGACTTCCCACCTCCACAGAGCCCACAGCTCCTGAGCCTCAGGGATGCATCCCCTTTAGCTGAGTCCTTTAGCTAATTACACACTTTCCTTTGTGGTTAGGAGTCACAAGGGCCATAGCCTCACGATATGCCCGAGGGTCATCTTTGTCTTAAGGCCGTTGGACAGCGTGGGTCTAACCCTAATCTGACGTCTTGCACCCCCCTTTTTTCTGAAACTTGTACTCTGTAAAACACGTGGTATCTGAATTCATGATGGGGACTTCCTTGCCTTGCTACCATGTTGCATCACCACCTTTGTCTGACAGCGAGACAGCCCTGCGTCATTTGGTGAGCACAGAATGGGAAAAATTAGAGTTGGGATTTTACAGCAGAGCATGTGGCTACAACTTAGTGTGCTGTAGACATTGTACATAAATGCATGTACAAAAATGTCATGCTGTATACTATAAATCAGTACCCTTTGTATTTATCAATGAGAAAAAGGATCCCCAAACGCACCATGCCTTTCGCAGTCCGCTGAGTGTTGGCTGTTTAAAAATCCCACACCCACTGCTGTAGGAAAATGCCTTCCTTAAACCAGAATGTTCTTTCTAACAAGCCCATCCTGTAGACGCCCCTGTGGGCTTTGGAGCACAGCAGTTTGTGGGTTCCCTGCCTGCACTGCACAGCCATACAGTTGCCTCACGCCCTACAGAAAGAAGCCTGTCAAAACTCCACCCTTCTTCCCTGGCCGAACCTTCCCAGGCACGGACCACAATGCCCAGCATTGCTGTTCTCTGCTTTAGTCTCAGAGGCCTTCTAGGTTCGTTCTCCCCTGCTCTGTCTGTCCTCCACTGCTCTGTCCGTTCTCTCCTCTCTGTCCGTCCTCCTCTGCTCTGTCTGTCCTCTCCTCTCTGTCCGTCCTCCCCTGCTCTGTCCGTCCTCTCCTCTCTGTCCGTCCTCCTCTTCTCTGTTTGTCCTCCCCGGCTCTGTCCGTCGTCCCCTGCTCTGTCTGTCCTCCCCTGCTCTGTCCGTCCTCCCCAGCTCTGTCCATCCTTCCCAGCTCTGTCTGTTCTCCCCGTCCTCCCCTGCTCTATCCATCCTCCCCGGCTCTGTCCGTCCTCCCCTGCTCTGTCCATTCTCCCCGGCTCTGTCCATCCTCCCCTGCTCTGTCCATCCTCCCCGGCTCTGTCCGTCCTCCCCTGCTCTGTCCGTCCTCCCCGGCTCTGTCCATCCTCCCCTGCTCTGTCCATCCTCCCCTGCTCTGTCCATCCTCCCCTGTTTTGTCCGTCCTCCCCTGCTCTGTCCATCCTCCCCTGTTCTGTCCGTCCTCGCCTGTTCTGTCCGTCCTCCCCTGTTCTGTCCATCCTCTCCGGCTCTCACCCTCCATCATCAGGAGCTGCTGGTCTTGCACTCTGACACCTTGTCATTCTCCTCTTTGAAGGAGACTTTGACACTCTTTCTGCTGGGGTGGATGATGTGTTCTCCTCTAAGATCCTTCCCTGGCCAGTTCAGGTCTCCATTCAGAGCCCCTTATTCTACCCTTGCTCTGTACCCCCACCTTCAGCTCCTCCTCTACCTTAACACTCTAATCCACTGTCTCCTAAGTTCTGGTCTCCATCTGAGCAAGTGTCAGTGTGTTTGTGTGCAGGTGTATTTTATCTTACTTGGCTGGGACCTGTCCTCTGTGAGACGGGCCACGACTGGCTTGCTCTTGCAGAACAGTCTGTGGTATGTGGTAGGCTGTGCACACACTAGGCACACTAGTAAATCACACGACTTTCTAATGTGTTCCAAAGTCCAATGTCCTCCAATTTTCCCCTACCTTTCTTTTTCCTACCATCTTGGAAAATTCACCTCCTTTTCAAGCAAGCAAGAATATTTATGGTTACTATGGCCAGAGCTGGAAAATGACCGGTCCCTAGGGGAGGGGGAGTGAACTAATTAAACGTTTAGGTATTCAAACCCCAGGAGGCCTGGCACCTGTTGTCTGGTCCCTCATCCTGTTTGCTCCTGAGTCCACAGCTTCCAACTCTCTAGTTGTCAACTAATTCATCACCATGGCAGAATTCTCACAATCTAGAATCCAGCCTTGAACTCCCTGTGCAGTGCACAGTGAGGAAGCAGGAAGCAACTTCTGACAGTGTAAGGGGTGGGTCCAGCATCCGGACAAACCCAGCCTGTGCCACTATAGCCACAGCAGTTACAGCTCACGGCACCATTGATGCTTCCCTGGGTTTGTCCCCTGAGAGGTAGCAGAGAAGATCTGAGTTTATATAAATCAAATATTTAAATCAGAAAGGTTCTCGTTTGTTCTGTAAGAAATTATCTTTTATATGACTGAATTACATAAAAATGAAGCAAAGCTAAATAAAATCTATTTTAATTATTGTGATAGTTTGGATGGAATTGGCCCCCATAACTTCATAGGAGTAGTATTAGGAGGTATGATTTTTTGGGGGTGGGTTTGGCCTCATTAGAGATAAGTATGTCACTGTGGGGGTAGGTTCTGAGGTTTGCTATGCTCAGGATACCTCCCCCTGTCTCAGCGGCTGTCTGCCTGCACGCGGCCATGCTCCCTGCCAAGGTGATGATGGACTGAACTCTGAAATTGTAAGCAAGCCACCACGATGAAATGTTTTCCTTATAAGAGTTGCTGTGATCATGGTGTCTCTTCACAGCAATGAAAGTCCACAGAGGATCTGAGGGCGGCTCTAAAGGGTCCTCTGTGAAGCGGCCTTGCTCATGAGGTGACGGTGGCACGGCACAGGCAAGCACCATCATTTTCAGCTCGACATTGCCACAACTTATCATTTTCGAGCCGTATTTTAAACTTGAAGTGTTATTTTAAAATATAAGCACCATTTTGAAAACCTCTTGAAATCAGCTTTTCATTTCAAAAGCTCGCTGCAGACTGAAAGAAGTTCGTGTCCTAGAGTCCCCGGGTGGCTGGGCGAGCCCTGACTTGGAGTGAAAACACAGGCTTCAGAATTTGAGTTTGGCCCCTTTTTGGTAGCTGTCTACCCTCAGCAATGTTAAGAGCTCCCTGTCAGCTCCGGCTTCCTCATCTGCAGCACCCAAGAGCCTGCTTTTCCTTTCCGAGCACCCTGCTCCCATCGCTTGCCCTCTGCAGCCTACTTCCTGCCTGTTTTCTAAGTTTAAGAAAGATGTCATGGCTTTGCTCAGACACACAAAAGTTTCCGCCAACCAGCACCACTTTGATTCTCTATAATTTTGTTAACCAGTTTGTCCAGCACTTTCAAATGCTCAGCGGTGGATAAGAAATGGCAGAAACCTCATAGGATTAGGATACAGTTCCAGCTGTGGGGCCCAGCAAAGAGTGAGAACGGGAAAGAAAGAGGAGAGGCCCTATCTATTGGTTCGTTTTGAAAGCCAATGCAAGCAAAGGACTTATGGCATTAGGCTCAAAAACTGTGTGTCTGTGTGTCCGTGTGTGTCCATGTGTGTGTGAGTGTCTGTCTGTCTGTCTGTCTGTCTGTGTCTGTGTCTATTAAAACAAGAAGCTGGGAGAGCATCAACTCCCAACCAATACAGTTACAGTGCAGGGAGCAGAGGCATTAGTCACCTGTTCCGTGGCTGCCAGCCTGACTGGGGACCAGCCCGACTGACTGGGGACCAGCCCGACTGACTG